AACGATTATCAGTAGCCGCCTTAGTTAACACCGAAGGCCAGAAATGCCCAAATAAAGAATGTAACAGAGTAAATCCCAACTACATTCATCCAAGGATAGTAAAGGATGAAGAAGATCATTTTTCATTCTACATAGAATATCCGGAGATTGGGGGAGCACCAAAAACTGGACATGTTAGAAGAGGACTCAAAAAATCAAAAGAAAATAAGATCAGATTATATCCTGACACTATAAAAGCTATCTTAGAGAGAATACCCGATGATGTAGTAAAAGAGCTTGGACGGGGAGAGGCTGGACATCCACGCAAATTAGTTTTACGGGGCATTAATATTCCTCCAGTATCTATCCGTCCGGGCGTTAAAAATTATGGAAATGGAAGTAGTAGCTACCACGATAGCTCCACATTATTACAAAGTATAGTAAAAAGTAATAGTAAGCTTCCTGATCAATTACCAGAAACTATGGGATCCAACGGGCCGGGAACTGAGCCTGCGATTATAGATCAGAACTATCTTAGTATACAAAACCAGCAGCTATATTATTATAGCTTGATCATGGGTTCCACTCCTTCCGATGTGACAAAAGGAAATACAGGTCGGAGAGGATTAGTAATAGGTAGCAGACCACTAAATGGCTTCTTACGCAACCTCCCACGAAAAGATGGGCATATCAGAATGAATCTTCTAGGAAAGAGAGTATTTTACATCAGTAGAAGTACGATCAGTGGGAACATGAAATTACGAATTGATGAGATTGGGATTCCTATATCTTTTGCCAGGACCTTACAAGTGGAAGAAACAGTCCAAGAATATAACAGAGATTGGCTTATGCCTTTCTTCTTGAATGGTCGTAAGCAATATCCTGGCTCAACTCGAATTAAAAAACATTCTACTGGAGAAGTCCATGATGTGGCAGGTCTTCGAGATTTCCGCCTGGAAATAGGAGACATTCTTTTCCGGGATGTAGTCAATGGCGATCTAGCTTTCTTTAATCGTCAACCAACTCTC